TGAGTTTATAAAAAAAAAATAAAGCCATATAGAACATTTTGAGGGATGTAAAAAAAAAAACAATGGTTATAACATATTTCCTGTTTTACATTTTTTATTTATTTACATGTAGCTTCCAAAAACCAAAAGAAAAGAGCAACATATTGATAAATAATGTTATGATAGTTGTTTTAACTTTAAGCTACAGTATGATTGAATTGCCTCTTATTACAGTTATGAAATTCTGTATTAACAAGCAGGAAATGTTTATGGACTAATGACACGACCACACTGAAATGATCTAAGTTTTTTTAAACTTCTGCAATATATGGGAAAACATGGTATTTTTTCTATTTGAATTGTGACCCAGTCATTTCTTTTGTGACCTCCACCTAAGTGTATTCGGAATGACCTTTTGATCGCTCTTTACTCCCTCTGTCATTTCCTTCTTCACCTCAGGCACCTGTCCTATCTCCTCTGCTTTCCCTATCTGCCTCAGCATAGTTTGTAGAGCCCCTCTCCCAGGTGAGTAACACTGTACAATGTATTTTGTTTGTTTTTTGTTTTGTTTTGGTCTTTTTTGGTGAATTATGGATTTTTCGTTGTGTTTAATCAAATAATCACAGCATATGGTTCAAAATAATCTTATTCATTCATGCTTGAAACGTACACACACAAAAAATAATCTAAAAAAACAAAAACTGTGAAATCCACAACAACAAAATATATTACTATAGCATGTTTAACAACAACACATGTTGAGCAAGGTGCTTTAAACTTTTAAAAATGACAAAAAAAAAAAATAATAAATACTGGGTAAAAACACACGCTTTACTGAACAATATACCAACTCTGTCCCTAAGAGCAGTTGTAAAAAATGTAACATAAAATTAAAAAAACAAGGATTCATATCAGGTAAAATAAACATTGTATGGATGCCTTGAATCTGTTTTCTATCAAAAAAAAAAAAAGGCAATAAAAGTATTAAAAATGTTTAGGAGTTTACCCATAAATTGTCTCTCCACACACTTACGTACACTTAAGACACATCCCAAATGGCACACTATACACTATGAACTTATACACTATGTACTTACGCACTTACATACTCAACAGCATAGTATATGAATCTAGTGCCATCTCAAATATAACACTAATGGTTGTTTACTAAACGCATTCAAAGCGTTTCACAGATGATGTTTGATGGTTGCCAAATAAGTGAAACTAATGACCAAACTATCAAATAATACCTGTCTTGAGTATAACCACATTCAGCATCAGAGAGCAGCATAACCACTCTCGTAGTAGAATTTTGCTGTCATTATTCGAAATAAAGTAATTAAACTTAAGTGCCTGATAGCTCCACCCCTTCTGCAACATGATCAAAACTGTGGCTGTTGAGTGCGTCTAACAGTCCAGACTTCTTATTAATGGTTCAATAAGTGGAGCATCCGGGAATTTAAAATGCACTTAATCTACTCAGAATATAAAGAATATTTCAGTGTGAACACACTACTTACACTATTTATACAACTAGATGACATAGAATTGTGCATAAGTATGCCATTTGGGATGCACCTTAACACTTCCCTATAGTGTCTGTGTGTTGTGTGTGTGTTGTGTGTGTGTTGTGTGTTGTGTGTTGTGTGTGTGTGAGTGTGAGTGTGAGTGTGTGTGTGTGTGTGTGTGTGTGTGAGTGTGTAAATGTGAAACGATTTTGTAATAATGATTTCAGCTTGACTTGGCAGCTCTGTCAGTTCTGTCAGTATCTATCTTTAGATATACGGTAACTAACGCTCTGTGTCCTGAGTTCCTTGTAAGAATGCTGTCTTCCTGTGTGGCTTTAGGGTTAGTATTCCAGCTCCTTCCACCCCACAGCACCGGAAACTCTCCTGAAATGATTGGCTTAAAAGCTTTATGACTTTTGGCACATATAAAGGGGCTGGGAACATGTCAGATATTATTCATCCACAGGGCTCTGAACATTAAATTCCAGAATTTACAAGGGCCTTTTTTTTCCCCCACTTAGGCACAGAAAGGGACACCTGTGATGACCGCATGCTCCAGATGTGAATAGGCAGTAAGCAATATGAGTCTTTAAGCCAGCTGTCTAGTAGTTCAGTTTCTGTCCTATTCCACTCTGAGGACTCATTTTTAGTCTTTGTTGTCAGAATCCAATAAATTCAGTGGATTCCGGATATATGAGTGGCTTATGGATAATGTAAGATGGATTTTGAAACTTGTCTGAGCTATTTTTTTTCTGGAGAATCTGATATTACTAAATCGTATTTGTCATTTTTGCTTTTTTTTAGTGTTTTTTACAAAACACTTTGTTATTTATAAATCGAGCCTTGGTACTTACTGTATATGGGTGACTCGAGTTTGAATATAAATTTGGCAACGTGTGTTCTCACTCTACTGGTTTAACAATAGAGCTATATACACTGACAAAAGTCTTGTCATCAATCCCAGTTGTAAGAGCAACAAATAATAACTTGACCTCTAAATGATCATTTGGGAAAGTGGCAGAAGGTAAATTTTTCTGATGAATCATCTGTTGAACTGCATCCCAATCATCACAAATACTGCAGGAGACCTACTGGACCCAAGATTCTCAGAGAAATCAGTCATGTTTGGTGAAGGAAAAATCATAGTTTGGGGTTACATTATGTATGGGGGCCTGTGAGAGATCTTCAGAGTGGATGGCAACATCAACAGCTTGAGGTAGCTTTACTGTTCATCATTGTGCACAAGAAGGAGCAGTAACTGCTTTGTTCCAGACACCATTCATGGATGTAATTTTAGATCTACTAGGCTACTATATATAATATAATGATATTGTGTACTTCTATTAAGTGCGCATATGACTAAGCCGCTGATAATATACAAGATTTGAGAATTTGAATGTGGGCTCGCCTGTGCACGCTCTCACATTTGCGCGTCATGACCATGTGCACTCTATGTACATTATAAATAAAGCAGCAGGATGCACATTTGTTATTATCCTCTGCAAGTCATCTGTCCTTGTGCTACAGCCTAGCATTTATTCAGGGTGGAATGTTAAAGTATATAAAGCTGCTCATTTCAACATGACTTAATATTTTTACTGTTCAAATCATTGACTGAGCAGTAGTTTATTTATAGAATAAACGTGGAATATAGAGTCTACTAACTTAAAGGAAAAATTATATTCTGTGGACACAAGAGCACTAAATTGAGTCAGTGGCATCATTTAGTGGCAGTGTGTGGATCTGTCCCTTTATTGAGGTACAAAGTAGGCGATAATAAACGTATTAATTTTATTACTTATGTGTCTATTAAACTGCTCAACAGTTAAACTGATAAAAAATAAAACTTAATTGTGTGGCTAATATTAAGCATTTAAATAAAGATTATTATTATTTATCGTTTTCTTTTTTTGTCCTTGGCTGATCACATGCCTGATACTTCAGCCTCCACACAGGTCAAGGTGTTCCAGGATTGGCCACCCCAGTCACAAGATATGAACATAATTGGTTCATGTCTGGGGTAAGATGGAGGAGGAGGCATTGAAGATGAATCCAAAAGATCTTGATAAACTCTAGGAGTGCTGTAAGAATGCTTTCTTTGCAATTCTAGATGACTTTACTAATAAGTTATTTGAGTCATTGCAGAAATGTGTGGATGCTCAGGCTTATGGGAGTCATACACAACATTAATTCTATTTCCACTGCACCATGACTTTATATTCTATACTGTACATTATTTCTGTTAAGTGACAAGACTTTTGTCTAAGCAAAGTCAGACCTTACTGTCCAAATTAAATAATTAAAAAACAAGGCATGGTAATATTTTATTTTGGTAAAATATGCGAAATCTAGAGGCCTTTGCCTTTCATATAAGCCACACATGATAAACTAGAACAGTGGTCACCAAACTTGTTCCTGGAGGGCCGGTGTCCTGGAGGAAAAACACCAGAACAAGCTAATCAAGGTATTACTAGGTATACTTGAAACATCCAGGCAGGTGTGTTGAGGCAAGTTGGAGCTAAACCCTGCAGGGACACCGGCCCTCCAGGAACAAGATTGATGACCCCTGAACTAGAACTTAAGTTATTATTTGTTGTTCTTAAAACTTGGATAGGCAACAGGACATTTGTCAGGTTTTATATATTTATCTGGCTATAACATCTGGGACTGATTGACTGACTGATTTATTGATTGGTTGATTTATTTGATTCACTGACTGACTGAAAGCAGCCATCTATCAGATTCAGCACATACCAGGATTGACCTAGCACACTTTACTGCCAGTACAGCAGAAATGCTGGTCGTTATGTCGTTAGTTTTTTTATTATTGGCTTGACACTGATGTACTGGTGCTTATGACAAAACTAATCCACTCTCTAAGTGGACTCGAGTGGATAAGACGTTTGAAAGCAGTTAAATATATTTGACATGTTGAACAGCTTCAAATTGCACTTCAGTTCTTGCATCAGCCCCACATTTAAATTCTCTCTGTGGTCTTATGTTATTTATCCACATGCTGGTCCATCTAATTAAAATTCCCTTTAGAACATGATGGCTGAAGTGAATAACCCTCTTGTGCTATTTGTCTGTTTAATGATCCAGCCATTTCAGGCCCTGCAAATTCTTTGGAAAGATATTTGTAGCTTGTGTGTGAACACTATAAATCTTGCAAAGGACTGACTGGAACCGCCTGAGCAAGACAAAGAAGAATGTTTTTCTTGATTGTCAGTAGATTGGAGACCAACACACACATGTGTGGTTCTAAATGGTTGTAATTGTTATTGCTCCTAAAAGGTGAAGCTTATGGTGTTTTATTTTGATAAGTGCACATTCCCTTGCCTCATATTACAATGTCAGTTTACTTGTCTTCATTTCTTAGTCGGATGATATTTAGGTGCCCTAGTCTGTATACATGGTTTTAACATGTAGTTGTTGTTTTTATTCAGGAAAATACTCTGAAGATACTCAGACTGAATCAGATTCAAGTTTCCTCTCTTCTCTTATTCCCTTTAGAAATCTTCTGCAGATGTGGAACCAAAGATGTCCTTGGCTGAGCGAATGAAGATCTTACAGGAGAAGGAGGAACAATGGAAAGTTAAAGGCAAAGGAGCTTCTAATGACTCCACACAATTCTCTGTTGCTGGCCGTATGGCTAAAAGAGGTGAGAAACTAATTAGTCTCTGGTTTGTCACCAAAGATTATTATGTGGTGTGCACAAACTTATCTCACTGCACAAAGCATGTTAAACTTTTTACGTTACATTATCAGGATCTCTGAAAATGGAACATCGGGTTTCAGTGTGCATTCTGTTGCTCAAGCTGTGATGCATTTTCATGTTGACACATCTGTTTCCTATCAGGCTTGGTGTCACCCAGCAGAGAGGATGTTCCCATCATCCTCAGCAAAAAAGCCTGCAGCAGCACACCAGTCAAACCACTGGAAGGTATCAGTTGCTGTCATTTTCTTTGACCTTTGTTTAAGTACTCACATGCCACAATGATATATTGCTGAGGCTGTTGTCTATACAAGTGGTTTTCTTTCATGTGTGGAAACATCTCCTGGGCAGAAATCTCCACGCGTCCTGATGCTGAGGGAGATAAAAGACTGGACAAACTGGAGTCATTTTTGGACAAACTTCATAATAAAGGTTATTTATTAAAATTGCTTCATTAACAATGTGTTTCTACATATTGAAACAGTTTTCAGTGATCTGCTTTTCTTTTTGCTTAATATGCAGGCAGTTTGGGCACAAAGAACTCCACAATCGAGGTGATGGAGGAGAAAGAAAAAGAGGTGATGACCTTTGATGACGAGGAGACTTTTGGACGTTTTTACAAATGCTTATCACCCACTGCTCTGAGCTCCAGTGTCCTGCTGGATGAGGAAGAAGACTTCAGCATTATTCAGTCCAACACGCCCAAGTGAGAAAGGGTTTTTATCTGATTTTTGTGCTATATAATAAAATATGCATTTATTAAAGGTGTTTTACATATCAACTGGATCTCTGTATGAACTATTCTTGAACAACTCTTGGGCTTAAAATATTAAATAAATTATAGGCTGCAACTTGGCCTAAACACCATACACTTTTTTTTTTTTTGGTTTCATCAGACACCAAGAACAGCTCTAAGAGTAAAGTTTGATGTCAAGTTGGGTGCTGGCTTAACAAAGCTTTGAAACACTTTTGAGAAAGTTGAAAGTTTGAAGCTAGCATGTGAGGTATTCTGCTAGAATGCTTTGCTAAATTTAGGACAAAACCTAGCTAGTGATAAAATGCCCCTTCATGGAAGTCTATGAGAATTTGTATTGTGTTTGAAAGTCTGATATGGCAATTGCATAAGTTGGATCAAATAAAAACACACACAGTTAGAGAACACACCAATCGAGCTTTATGCGTTGAGAGGCGCCTCTTTTGAATGGTTTACTAACAGACGCGAGCGTTTTGTGCGCTGCTTATGCATTTTAACTGCCTGCTGTTAAAATGTGTTTTTTCGTCCTTGCGCCGTGCGCTCTCAGTTCAAAAAAAGTCAACTCTGAGCGGAAAAAGCATGTTACTTCATGTCACTCACGTCTTTTTCATTCTCCAATCAAAGGAAAGCAGAGGCGGGGTTTCCGTTGAGGTGCCTGCAGTGTTTGTGACAACAACGGAGACTTTTGAAGATGAAGGAGAGACTTGTGGTTTTGGGTTATCCAGAGCTGTATGATTTCACAAATCATGAATATCACAATATTATTAATTATTACAATTAATATCAACAGCAACATTCTCAAAAAATATCCAGCTGATTCAGTCGTTGCCTAGCGACATAAAGCGCACCGTGCTCTTTTTTTCTTGACAACAAAAAGCCAGTGAGGTGCACCTCGCGTTTTTGGAACCTATATGCACGTTCAGTGTGATCGGCCTCTTAAGGTGTTTGCTGAATTTGGTGTTGTGGCTTGAATGCTGTAGGAAAAGAAAAATAGGAGCTAACGGGTGTGTATATACGTATACACAACCCCAAATCAGAAAAAGTTGAAACACTATGGAAAATGCAAATAAATAGAAAAGTAGTGTTATATTTGACTTGTATTTCATTGATATAAACACAAAATACATTATTTCCTATCATTTAGACCTGCAACACATTCCAAAAAAGTGTGGACTTGAGCAACTTAGGGCTAATAATCAGGTAAATTACTTAAATAATGATGTGATTTGAAACAACATGTCAACATGTGATTCTGATTAGAATTTGCTACAAAAGCAGCATCCAAAAAAATTTCCACAATACATACAGCTAGTTACATCCACAAATGCAAGTTAAAACTGTACTGTGCCAAAAGGAAGCCATATGTTAACAATGTCCAGAAGCACCGTCGACTTCGCTGGGCTCGGAGGCATCTGGGTTGGACCACTGCAGGTGGAAACTTGTACTGTGGTCAAATGAATCAGTATTTAGGGTACATTTTTGGATAAATTGATGCCATTTAGTCCAGACCAAAGAAGAAAAAAATCCTCCAGACTGTTACCAGCAGCAAGTCCAAAAGCCAGTATCATGGTATGGGGTTGTGTCAGTGCCCTTGGCAAAGATAACTTACACTTCTGTGGTGGCACCATTATTGCTGAAATGTACATAGAGATTTTGGAGCACTATAAGCTGCCTTCTTTTCTAGTGTTAGGGTTAGTGTTAGTAAATGTTGGACTATGATTAATCTAAGCCTTGTATGTCACATCAAGCACTGCCTAAATGTCTGATGCACATGACGCACTATTCTGGAAACTCTTCAGCAGATCCTCAGTCATCCTCAGATTAGTTTAAATATACAGGATTTCTGTGAGTTAAGTTTGCACAATCTTATCCAATCTTCCTGGAAATAAGTTTGATTGGATTCCAACCCAAAAAAATACATTTACGTTGTAGCTATGTCTTGTACAACATGGCAACGTCGCCACTTACATGCTCGATACATTGTTACAACGTAGAAATGTAAGACGTGAGAAGGCTGTAGCAACATTGTCTGTTGACATTCAGCAACCATGAGACAACGTTCTTACTATACGTAAAAATGCTTTTTTCCTCGCAGTTTATCAACACTGCTTAGAATACAGGATAAGCAGTAATAATGGTCCAGTATTGCTTAATATTAAATATTGTTCATTCTTTTTTCCTTTTTAATTTAACAACTGCATGTGTAGGCTTTGAAGTGTAAAAATGCCACTCAAATGAATATAATTAAACTTTATTATATATTTTACAACATTTAATACATATAGTACACATCCAGTTACAAGCAAACAGTATAAAATAAAGTTTAGATTATATTAAATAATCAACTTTAATTAAACTCAAAGTTAAATTAAAATGTAAATTGAGAAAGTAAACAAACAAGAAAAGTAAACAAGAAAGCATTAAAATATTAAATAGTTAATTAATTAAAATGCAAACAGAAGACCGGGAAGCGCAGCCGAAGACTAGTGTAGTTGTTGGTACGGAGAAAGCAGTCAGAGAAAGAACCACTGATGACTTATTTATCAAGAAGAAATAAAGCAATACTTACGTCTCCTCTGTCGTTGTTGAATGGCGCCAAATGGTCTGTTGAAATTTAAACGGATTCATTGATGACGAGTAAATGTTGTACAGTGGTCGTCCATGCCGCCTAGGCATAACCTAAAGTCACAGCCATTTATATGACAACATTATGACACCATTGTGACAACCTTCGGCAACAATGTAAATCCTCAATGTTTTTACAAGGTTGGTACAACGTTATAGGAAGGTCTTTACGTTGAGGCAACGTTGTGTGTTTGTTGGGAAAGCTGTGATGTTTACACTGATTACAGTGCTTATTCTAGACGTATGTTACATGCAGTATTCTTAGAATTCTTAGTTAAATTTCTGGGTGTGTCAGTAAAAATGTCTTCTTAGACATTCTTGAATTAGTGATTTATTGCCTGCCCACCCCTAGTTAAAAGGCCTAAATAGTAGAATTGCAATTAGATAGATGCAGCTGTTGAAGTTGCTTTTGTCAGATAGAATTATAATTGAACCTAGTTTAGCCACAACCCATAATTCAAGTAGCTGGAGCTCTGGAGCTGCTTAACCACTTTTCCGCTATCAGACTAAATGCTTCTGATTTGCTTTCCTTTTTGTGCCAGTCTAAGCCAGTCACCACGGATACGGTTTCATTTTCTATGATGGCACTGATAACGAAGCTCTTTGGAATATAATACAGTCATTGTGTAAGTCCTTGCTTTGGTAACACAAATGTTATGTAAATAGTGATTTGGATTATGATCAGATATGTCTGTTTTTAAAAGTAATTTTTATCTGATGATTACTTTGTTAAATTACAAAAAAAAAAAAAAAAAAAAAACAAGTAGTGCACTATTACTTAGCCTGTTATGAAGAAGCTGGTAGCCTGGCAACATTTCTCACACTCTGCCAGCACAGTTGTTCCTACCATGCTGTTCCAGGCTCACATGAAAATACAATTGGAGCTCCACCACTTAGGGTAAAATTATTCCAATTTGACCTGGCATTTGCTCAATTTGTTGAAATATTTTTGTTTGAAAATGTAAATATGATTAGTTTACTATTTGTATTCACACATCACAGCTCCTGCATTCATCCTCGAAAGCATATTTTTGTTTGCTGTGTGATAATCATTAATATTAATGACCCTTCCAAATAAGGTAAAAGCAGACCATTTTGAATGTTTCATCAGAATTTTTTTTTCACTTAACCTATACGACATACCTTCTATGTAAATATCAAAGAACAATTTAATTTGATATATGCAGTCTGTGGAACCTATAAGATGTGGTGCTATTGGTAAATGAGTAGTAGAGAGTAAGGCCCAATCCCAATTCTACCCCTTAGCCCTTCCCCTTCCCCCTCGTTTTGCGCGTTTACTTCTAGGGCTGGGGGTGTCCCAATTCTCTTTAACTTGAAGGCATTGGGCTAAAGGAAAGGGGTAAATGCCCCTTCAAATGAAGATTTTTCAAGACCACACTCGAAACCAAGGTGTAAGAAAATTTCCCAGAACACACCAGCCACAACAGTAGAATCACTGCACCCGGAAATAAGGAGATCCACAAATTAGTATTTTTTGTCATTTTTATGAATTTTTACAACAAACAAGCATGTTTTGACATTTTCATAACTGTGTACTTGTTTTACCGTCATGCTTTAAAAAAAAAAGATAAAATAAAACCCGCTAAATTTTGCAATCTATAATCCATAATCATAACTCTTGTATAGCAGTTCCACAACATTCTGACACTCGATGAGACTCGGACACCCTGTCAGTAATGTCTAGTGGCTGAGAATGGGCTTTTTACAGTGTCTGCTATAATGTTAATGCTGTTTTTGGTGTGTTTACACAGATGAATATGGCCCCTGTGGAAATGCACAGTACAATTACGATCTTATTGCCACATTATATCATTATGATAACATAATATATGCCTTCAGTGATCTCCTGAAGATAAATACCAAAAAATTCCACAACTTATATAATAATATTGTTCAACAATAATATAACTACAACAGTCGCGATCGTGATCTTATATGAAGCAAGAGATCACAATGACATATGATGATGTGTGCGGGTGCTGTAGTGCTGTCCCAATTCTTAGGGGCAAACTTTGAAGCCCTTCCCCTTAACCCTTGGTTGTAATGGCCAAGGGGAAGGGGTAGGGGTACAAAAATTTAATTGGGATTGGGCCTAAGTTGTTCCCAGTGTCCAATGAAGGCCATGAGGATAGCAAAAATGTTACCTGTTTTTAAAGTAGACCTGTTATGCAGCCATACTATAGAGGTAAAAAAAACACAGTGTTTTTTTATGTACACTGTAAAACCCAAAAATTTAAGATAACTCAAACCATTTGAGGAAACCGATTGCAACAAACCATTTAAATTAGTCCCAATGAGTACTGTGAAACTAGTCCACATACATAAACAATGCATTTTGAGCACGGTAAAACCCAATAAATTAAGAGAACTCAAACCAACTGAGTACTGTAAAACCAAAAGAGTTAAGCCAACTTAAACCGTTTGAGGAAAACGATTGCTACAAACCATTTGACTACACAAAACAACTAATCTATGTAGTACTGTGAATTTACTCTATTTAAGTTGAAGTAATGAGGTATTTAATTAACTCATCACCTTCAACACAGTTCAAAACTCTTTTTAAATGAGTAGAATTAACTTTCAGTAAATTTTCAGTTAACTACACTCATGATTTCATTTGATAAAGTTGACTGATGGGATTTACAGTGTATAAAATTCTCATACATTAGAAGCAGTGTTTAAAAACACTCTGTTCCAGATTTCCCTTAATTGTGAAATCATGGTAGCTGTAAGCCCCACCCATGACTGGTTAAAATCTGTACCTATTAGCATAGATCAGTAAGAATTTGTGCATGACTGTGTGGGGTCACAAACTTTTCGAAAGCTAAACAGTCATAGGCCAGTAATGGATGCATTCTTTGTCAACTTTAGACTGGCATCTGCAGTTGAGGAACACAAGCGTTCAGTGCGGCCATGCAGACGAGCCAAGAGCTCAAGAAACCCTCTTCGTGCCCTGGCAGCACGAGATGACCTTAGGCAGACTTACACTGAGCAGAGACTCAATGTGGCCTCGGTGGAGACCAAAAGAATACAAATGGAGCGGAGTAAGTTTCTTTTACGATTTGTGTTGAATTCATGGAATATTTGTATTACATTTGCTTCAGCTTTGGAATGGCAGTCCTTTAATGATGACAGCTTAAGTGAAATATGCTTAGCCACGTCCCTCCAATTACGTCAACCATTTATTGTTTTTTATCAAAGAAACAGCTATGTTTGCTAATGTAAAATCAGCTAATGTTGATGTTGCACAAATGAAAACTGTTATTTAGATTTTGAAATGCTTTTGGTTTTTGTAAATGTTTTTAGTGGCCAAACACTCAAATTTGGCAGACACAGCTTTGGCAGGTCTGGCCAGTAAAGAAAACTTCAAGAAAGTCAACCTACGAAGTGTGAAGTCAACAGAGGTAGTGACTAACAACGGTGCTGTGCCTTTCCACAAGCTCATGCTCATCCACATTAAAGGTATAGAGGTCAGTACAAGTTTGTACTTGATGTACATGTTCTGCTTTTAACACTGCTATTAATTTATGCAGGCCGCAGACATGTTCAGGTGCGTCTGGTTGAACCGACAGCCAACTCTCTGAACAGTGGAGACTGCTACTTGCTCATCACCCCCAAACAGTGTTTCTTCTGGAGTGGAGAATTTGCAAACGTCATAGAAAAAGCAAAGGTAATAACAAAAATTAGGTGAAAAAAGCATACTTGGATTTACAAATGACAATGTAATAAATGAGAACAAGTAACATTCAACATTGTTGTAATATTATGTATGTAATCGTGTAATCTATTTAATTGGCCTTAATGTCCATGTTTTTTAAATTTTTAATTTCTAATAGCTGTAATCTGAAAAGTTAATCAAAGGCGGCAACACCAAGGCTCCAAAAATACAAATTTATTAAATTAAAAAGGCTGACACAGAGCGTGTAACGTTTCGAGCCACCCAGCTCTTTATCAGATGATGAAGAGCTGTCAGATGATGAAGAGCCGGGTGGCTCGAAACGTTACACCCTCTTTGTCAGCCTTTTTAATTTAATAAATTTGTATTTTTGGAGCCTTGGTGTCTTTTGATTAACATTTAATTAGCTCTTTTTTGCACTTTTTGGCTGAGCACCCAGTTAAGAGGGATGTGCGTGCTTTTGTACAGTTTTTTGTAATATGAAAAACACAGTTTGTACAAAAGGATTTTTTTCAAACATTCGACTGAAGTTAAATCAATTTATTATATATGGTATTTCCACATGTTTTCAGGTGTACTGTTGCATGATCTGTCACTACAAAGGATTGTAGGTCACTGAGAAGCTACACCAACCGCTGTCAGTATTTCAAAATAATTATCTGTGATTGGATTATTTTATGGCAGCGTAGGTAGTTTATGGCAGTAGGTAGTGCTGTCGCCTCACAGCACAAAGGTCACTGGTTCGAGCCTCGGCTGGGTCAGTTGGCATTTCTGTGTGAAGTTTGCATGTTCTCCCTAAGTTTGTGTGGGTTTCCACCGGGTGCTCCGGTTTCCCACACAGTCCAAAGACGTACGGTACAGGTGAATTGGGTAGGCTAAATTGTCTGTAGTGTATGAGTGTGATTGAGTAAGTGTGGATGTTTCCCAGAGATGGGCTGCGGCTGGAAAGGCATCCGCTGCGTAAAAAAAAATGCTGGATAAGTTGGCGGTTGATACCGCTGTGGCGACCCCGGATTAATAAAGGGACTAAGCCAAAAAGAAAACTAATGATAAATAATAAACTAATAATAAATGAATGGACTATTTTATGATTACAGTATAATACATACAATATTTGCGTTGCTTTCCACGAACTATGGGTCTGTGTTATAAATGGTGCTCTATCCATTACTTTACACTAGCTATGTTTCCATTCGCCTATTTCTTATGCACATTTTTAAATATTGCATAAAAAATGCTTGATGGAAATGCCAAGATGCTCATGAACAAGATGTTGTAACAGTACTGTAACAGATGTTGTACTGTAACAGTTTTATCCAATAAGAGAAAATGGTACGACTTTTTACTTTGATGGCCCTTATTGCAAATTTTGCTGACTAAAAGTTGCAGTTACATGTTAACTAATTAGTTCTCATTTGAATATTAGTAGTTTGCCTGCTTAAAATCTGCTGAGACTATTTCTTTAGCACATTTAATTGACTATAAGAAACTTTGCAAGTACATGTCAATTTACACTAAATCCAACCTAACAGTCTACTTATAATCTAATAAGAATTAGTTGGCATGTACTAGATGCAATGCTATTTAAATTTAACAAAATGCATTAAAGGGACCATCAGTCAAGTTATTACAAAAAAAATGTGAATAAACTATGATGGAGACACAAAAATGGGTGCGATGGAGCAGCATTAATGTACAAATCAGCGGATTGACCATGTTGTAAAACATCTGAAATGTTGTTTTGGTTATTGTAAAATCCCTTAGCCAATGTTTGTCATTAAAGTATTATTACCTGCTTCCTGTACTGTCTTGAACGGCTGCTCAAAGCCACTACGTGTTAACTGTTTTGACTGTGTCTTCTGAAACACAAGTTATTTATTATAACCTGCAATTTCCATTTTTCCCTCTCTTTGATTGACTCATTGTATAGAAACACTTATATAAATAAATAGATTTATATGTATATATATATGCGTGTGTATGTTTGTATGTTTGTATGTTTGTATGTATGTATGTATGTATGTATGTATGTATGTATGTATGGTGTTGTAGTTGGGATGCTTTAGAAACTATTTGGTTGGAGAATCTGATAAAAAGGTGAAGCTCAAGGAAATGCTATGAGAGACTAATGTTTTGAAATGCATGAATCTTAATGCAAATTATGTCCTTTTTTTGAGCATGAGCATGCTACTTTATAGATGACCGTAAAAGTACTCATACTCCGAAAAAGTTAGTTTTGATTGCAGGGGTTCTATTTTAATTACGCTAATATCACAATAATACAATAGAGTTGTAGATCCATAGTTAACTGTAAAAAAAAAAAAAATACAGTAGAATATTTTTCTTGAATGTATTTATTTATTTTTTTAAGCATTAACCAATTCTATATTATTTATGTCTATTTCAGGGCTCAGAGATGGCTCAGTACATCCAGACGAAGAGAGATCTGGGTTGCAAAGCTTCACAGGTCACGGTGCTGGAAGAGGGAATCAACACAGACAACCGTTTGGCCAAAGAGTTCTGGAGTCTGCTGGGTGGAAAGACTGACTACAGAGGTGCAGGCACTTACAAAAATGCATATTCTGCCAGTCCGTGCACATGGAGGACAGATGTTAAAATGACAACCTTTCCCTACATAAATACACTCGCTCATTAGATTTTTATATACAAACCATTGACCCTAAGTCAGAATTAACTCATGTTATGTAATCATTTGGATTATTTGCTAGACTTGCCAAGAATTTCATTAGAATAGGTAAAACTATTTAAAAGCTATTATTCTTGCATTATTATACTATTATCATGAAATTCCATTATAAATCTTGGTCAGAAATTGGAAGCGTGTCAAACATGTTCCTTTGACTTATCGACTTTACACTTTTCTATAAAGTATACTAATTTAAAATGCATGTGACTTCTTTTTTCAAGAGAACACTACTTTTTTAAATTGTATGTATGTTTTTAATCTGAACCTGTGGTCTTTGGTGGATTTGGATTTATAAAATGCTAATGAAAGAAATTCAAACTTTAAAGTAAAAAATAAAACAAAAAAACTTCCAGTTACAGTAACTTATATGCAGAAACAACTCGCTTGTGAACTTGCACTAGAGATGGAGGACACGTATGGTGTATTGTTTAACAAAATGCTACATGAGCTTATCCGGGGAATGAAGTATGCAATTTAGCTGTCTACAAAGATTTGTTAGGGTTTAAAATGTTTCAGTAGTGTGTTATGATTGTCAGCAATCTTGCTGTAAGATGTCATTATCTGTTGAAGCACTCTGTAGAAACTAATGTGTGTAGAGCAGAGAAAGAAATCTAAATAATTGTTTACAGTTGGTTTTGGTCTGGATGGTACTCTTGTGGAACTGCTTATAGGCTTTAGTATAATCTGCAGGGTTACCCACTTCCATAATATGTTTTGTTTCCTGCAGGAAATCGACACTGTGCAGCAACTAGGGAGGTTAACAAAACTGCATAAAGAGACCAAGTGCATTTTTATGGGACAAACACACAAAAACACCTCCCACAAAAAAACAAAACACACATACACACTAACGGTCAAACGTTTGGAGTCAGTAGGATAATAATTATTATTATTAATATGTATAATATCATCATCATCATCATTATTATTATTTTTATTATTATTATTATTATTTTATTTTTATTATTATTATTATTATTATTATTATTATTATTAATGGTATTAGTTATAAAAGCAGTAATGACTGGAGTAATAGTTTTATTTGAAACTACATTCAATAGGAAAGCATTTTTTTATTTTATTTAAATAAATTTTATTATATTAAATTTAATAAATATAAAAAAAGTACATTTCATAAATGCCTTATTGATTAATAGAATAGTTAAAAAAAATAAAAAACATGGAAAAAAAACTGACCCCGAACTTTTGACAAGTAGTGAATACATTATCTCACTGGGCCCTCTCATCAATCCTACACCCGGCGCAAGATGTGCTTGGTGTGTTGTATTGCTATTTTCAGTCCAATGCAACCCTAATTTTCCTGTTTTGCACTACAATGTTTAAATAGCAAATCCATTTGCATTACTTTGTAGACTCATGGGTGTGCTGGTTTATGAAGGAGGTGTGTTAAGGTTCATTGTTGGTTCGTTGTTAATTTAAGGAACTTAAATAGACTGCGCCATTGACCAGCTGAAAGCTGCTCTAAAGTCCAAAGCAGAGCATGTTAGTTGTGTACCTTAAACACCTAACAATTCTCAATACACACAAGATGTACAGCAATACACATTATCTTTACAAATGAAAAATAATTCCAGGATTAAAATATTACAAACATTATTAATTTCTAAATAAATATAAAAAAGCAACCTCCATGTATTCTTTATCTCGGGGGGAATTTTGTATAATGTTATTATTCTTAGTAGTATATTATTATATGTATATTTATATTTATTTTAATAAAAACAAGTTTAAATTTGCCCACCTGTTGGCTTTTGGACCATATGGGGCATAAGAATAGTATGTGTGTTTGGCTATAACTCAGTTTTTTGACCACACTTTGTTATTATTGTTTATTTATTACTTTGCTAGAAATTAGAACTAAATTTAGAAATACTTTTGAAACAAATATTTGCGCTTAACAAATTAAATTAAATATGTAGGCTAATTGATGTCTTTAGTAAAGTGCGTACAAGACTGTTTCCTTATCCACGAAAGTAAAGGAGTAAAGAGTAAAATTAAAATAAAGAGAAAGTAAAAAGGCAGAATGAAGGAGGGTCGTTCTATATCCTCGTGCTGCAAATGGTCTGTTTAACTGTTTTCTAGCTAGTGAAGCATTCAGTTGTTCCACTTACAAATTCTGCCCAGTAAATAGTAAAAGTGCCGTAGCGTGACACAACTGACACTGTTTTTTTATGATTTTCTATTATACATATTGGTTTAATACATGTTATGCCCAAAACACACCCATTACTCTTGAAGAGAATAAGCACAACCCTTTCTGACCAAGCACAACCCTTCCTGTATTTTTCCTTACTTAAAATAGCAAAAGTTTATTCGGATATGCCCTTAATGCTTTTGCGCTAAGTGTTTTAGACTTTGTGCCTAGATTGTTAAAATAGAGCCCATTCAAACCCAAAATCATTAATGAATACAATCATGATACAGTATTTACTTTATGAATTTATTTAGAAAATACCTTATGTACCTCTATCTAATAATTAGCAGAAAACGTTATTTTGTCATTTAGGCTTGTCACAATAATCTGTGTATAATAATTTTTGGAGGCACAATATGTACTGCCCATCAAGCTTACATAAAAAATGAATGCCTTAAACATTTTAGCAGATTGTGCAGCCTCTGTTATCTCATAAGCAAGCTCAAGTAATAGCTAAACAAATGGGATTTTTCACCCTTTGCTGAAAATGACATTCAAATTGTCAAAATGACATACCTTCACAAACAATGTTAAAGCTATTTTATAAGAATGTGTACATTCTACATCACCGGTGTCAAGTTTATTATTAAAGATTATATTATAGAATTGAAACAGACTAAACAATAAAAAAATGTTTTGTGACTTTCAGTGGTATACAATGTTCTTAAAATGACAATAATATCACTTCTGTGTAATTCTGTGACAATACATGGTAGGCATATCGATGCTGAGTGAAACGCATGCTCACAGAGCCCCCCTGTCTTAGTCACTATGTCAAATGCAGTTCGGTTTACCATTGTAATGCTAGTAAATAGTCAAATATACACAGTATTTTTTTATTCCAAAATGTCTGTGCTCACATAAACATAGTAGGTTAAGTCTTGATTGAAAGTAAGCAGTTGTGGTTAAATTCTGATGTGTAGCATTATATTAGCTGCAAGCATTAAGTTTGCATACTCTTGTAATCTAAACAAATCAAGTCAGCAAGTGATTCGCTGTAGTTTCACACTTGTGTGTGTCTTGTGTTTTACAGGTGCAGGGGAGCCGGGGGAAGATGAACTCTACGAGAGTGCTATAATAGAGTCAAACTGTGTTTATAGGCTGGTGGAGGATAAGTTGGTTCCATATGATGAGGCCTGGGCATCCATCCCTAGTGTGTCTATGCTCAACTCTAAAGAGGTGTGACGTTTATAGCCTCTTTTGTGGCCTTCTGTGCTTTTGTGGTCGTTCATTAGTAAACTACACACGTGTTTGTGGTAAACTGTGCTTGTTTCAATTCAGCTGAACTCTACATGTGCTGTATGTGACAGGCTCTGGTGTTTGACTTTGGTAGCGAAGTGTACGTCTGGACAGGAAAGGATGTTCCTTTGAGTGACAGGAAGGTGGCAGTACAGCTGGGCAAACAGATCTGGAGTGGCGCGTACGACTACAGCACATGTAGAGTCAACCCCCTTGATCCCTCTTCAGCCAATAAAGACAATGCTAAGTGAGTGGCATCTTCAATCTTTGTAATTACAGCTTGTATTGGTGATCTACGTGGTGTTTTAGTACGTTTATTAGCTGATTGGTGTTTTGTAGGCCATATTTCTTGTTATTTTCTTGAGCCTTAAGAGTGGTTTATAAAGCTCTCGAAAAGCAATGAACTCAAATAAATCTCAGTAAACTTTATTTATCAAAATTGGTCATGGAGAATCACTACCCTGGTAAGTTTAGCTTAAACTCTGATCAAACGGACCAGTCCAGAGAGCTTGCTCAGGTGTCTATGAGTAGGATTGTACCAACACTCAACAGGGCAGAGGTCCTATAGAATTAGAGGTGAAGAGCTCTGGATTAAAACCAGGACATGATGCAAGTTCCTTACAACCACAATGCTGCCCTCAAGTGGTACAGTATGATTAAATGATATCTTAAATGTTAAACACAACACATTTTATAAACTGTTTTTTTTTTTTTTTTTTTTTTTTTTTTTTTTTTTTTTTTTTTTTAACAGTTTAACTGAATGTGAATTGTTAAACAAACAGTGAATATAAATGCATGGTATATTAAATCATTTATAGTTTTCATTTTAAGTAAATGGCTTAGTTCAGTTAGTATGGCAAGATCTTGTAAGACTGCCAGACACTGAAAACTTTTTTTCTTACTTGTTTTGTCTTGTTTCTAGTCCAGAAATCTAAAAATTCTTAAATCAAGAAGCTTTTTCTAGACAAACAAAAAGGCTGTCTTGTTTCAAGGAACAACATGCCAAAACTAAGTGAGCTTTCAAGCAAAATTATCTTGTTTTTCTCTTTGACACATTGATTATTTTGCTTACCGCACATTGTTTTGGCCTTTTTTTTTCTTAAAGCAAGACGATATTTTTTGTTTGTCTAAAAAATGCCACTTTATTGGACTAAAGTAAGAAAATCATTTTGTGCAGTGCAGTCATTTTGGTTAAGTCAAAAACTTCGGAATTTTTAGAATTGGTAAAAATTCCCAAACACAGGTGTGTCAAGCATGTGGCATGATTTTCAAAAAGACTTGAGGCTGTAATAGCTGCCAAAGGTGCATCAACAAAGTATTGAGCAAATGCTGTGAATACTTGTGTACATGTGATTATTCTGTTTTTTTTTTTTTTTTTTTTTACAATTTTTTAAACAATTTCAAAAAATATTTGTTCACATTGTCATGATGGGGCATTGTGTGTATAATGTTGAGGATATAAATCAATTTCATCCATTTTGGAATAAGGGTGTAACATAAAAAATGTGGAAAAAGTGAAGCACCATGAATACATCCGGGTGCACTGTACATTCACAAATAATGTTAAAGCCATTTTACAAAGATGTGTACATCCTACATCAGCGGTGTTAAATTTTATTTTAGGACATAAAATTTTTTTAACATTATATTATAGAATCTGAGTAACCTTAACAATGGAAACATTTTATTTATTTTTTTCCTTTTGGTTAAGTCAGAAACTAAAATATGAGTAACTTTACAATTTGCACTGGTATGTCTGTTTATGTGTATGCAGTTGAAAAGGTGAAATAGAAATATGTGTTCTCAGTTTGACTTTAGTCTATGTATATTTGATTTAGACTCAAGAATTTTGCACCTTTTGTGTCTGTGTTTTGAAGCAGACAGGGAGAGGGCAGGCCAAGTTGGGCCTTGTTTGGCCGGCTGTCAGAACACAACGAAACTGCTCTGTTCCGAGAGAAGTTTCTAGATTGGGCAGAAAGGAAACCCCCCAAAGATGAACCTGTGGTGGAGGAGGTGAAGGTAATAGATAGTGGCAGCCTTGATAACTTTCTTCTCTCTTTTGAAAATATAATAAAGAGTATTCTCTCTTTCACCTCTAGAATTCAGTACATCAGTTCCTTCCTACTTGTGACTCCGAACTGAGGCCGTGTGACGTCAAACAGATGCTGGCGGGTGTGCCGTTACCTGTGAAGATGCTATTGGAGGGTGTGGATGTGCAGAGAGGTCACGGATTGGTCTTTTCTGAAGACGGACGGCAGGCTGAACTGGCCACAATTGCTGTAGACGCATGGCACATTCGAGAGTTCGATGATTTTGAGATCCCGCCAGAGAGCGTAGGTCAGCTGCACGAGGGGGACACTTACGTCATCAGATGGAAGTACTCAGTTACTAATGTCGGTGAGTGATACAGGGAACAGTGATCATATAATTGTCACACTTTACTTGAAGGTTTCATTAGTTAATGTACTTACTAACATGAGCTAGTCACGAACAATACTTGTACAGCATTTATTAATCATATATTGACATGTACTAATGCGTTATTAAAATCCAAATGCTTGTTAATGAGTTATGAGTGGACATGAACTAACAATGGACAACGTTATTGCTTTTGACTAACATTTAAAGGAGAATGAATACTGTAATAAATGGTTTGATCATATTAGTAAATACATTAACATCAACTACTGGAACCGTATTGTACAGTCTTAATGATGTAATGCTACTTTGAAGCTTTGTGCACTTTTTAGGGGTCATATATATATATATATATATATATATATATATATATATATATATATATATATATATATGTAGAAGAATGAACTTCTAATATGAATGAAGAATGAATGAATTAAGAAACTCTAAACCCACTATTGGCTTTAATGCACACGTTGGAATCCAGAAAAAAAGCCTTTAAGCTCTGTGGATGAAATTCAACAAACCTGTTTAGAAGGAAAAGGGTCACAAGTTCACTATTTGTACAGGCAAAGACATTGATCCGATGATGTAATGAAATTCAACACTACAGCAACTTAGAATTGGCTTTACAACATGTTACAATTAAGTCACATGGTTGAGAGTTAGATGGTTATCATTTAGTTAAATACAAAATCCTACTTGCTGAGAGAATAAGAGAGAATGAAGTATTTATGTGTCTATATTAAAGTTTTCAAATCTGTAAAACAAAACCGCGAAAATTTTGATTCAGGTTTTTTTTCTCAATGACTCTTTATGATATACATACATGTGGCAGAGCTGCTGCTTTATAAAAAGACGTGCCCAGGTGAAGGATGTCCATATATATACAGGCCTGTTGCCAAGAGGGCTTCGGGTTGGTTCGAAAGACCCACCCCACTGACTAAGTCCAAAATTTGGCTTTACATGTGCCCGTTTGTCCCATTTTTGACTGCTATGCCAACATAAATGATGATAATTAGCGAATGAAGAAGGCTTTAAGACAAATTTAATTTTGTCTGATTTATTATTCACCCTGTTTTTTTTTTTTTTGCTCAATTTTTTGTGAAACGGAGTGATTTTTTTTTTGTAACACATTTCTAAACATAATAGTTTTAATAATTAATCTCTAATAACAGATTTATTTTATCTTTGCCATGATGACAGTAAATATTATTAGACTAGACAGCATTCAAGACACTTCTATACAGCTTAAAGTGATATTTAAAGCCTTAACTATGTTAATTAGGTTAACTAGGCAGGTTAGGGTAATTAGGCAAGCTATTTTATAAAG